GCCAGGAAAAAAATAGACAACCCAACGTTTTCACACTCTATGGGCTTAATATTTTCGATTGGTATATAAATTGTTCACTAAACCAATGAGTACAGAATTAAAAAAATAATAATACTAATTTTTGAATATTTAATTAAAAATATCCTGGAAAGGATTTTTTCAGCCAGCCCTCTCGCAAAATATTTATTAACACGTTAAATTTCATAGAAAAAAGATTTTATCCATTAAACATATGGGTGAAGGTCGTGCCTTTGTCGGATCTTACGACTATTATGACTTTTTGCATTTCAGAGATGATGTTTGTTACGTTTCTTTTTTTGAATTTCAGGTGGCGATATATAAAATCCACAGGAATTTTGATGAGTAAAAAAGCGGAACAAAATTATTTTCTTGGCGTTCATTTTGGCATACCTTTTGCTTCTGATGCTTTGCTGGCAAAGTTTTATCTGGCATCACCTTTAGTTCGTATGCACTGTTTATCTCTGCGGGCAATGAGGCATGATGAGAAATAGCCGATTATCGCATTGATTTCCTTTACGGCAGGATACAATTTTGAAATTTTTTGAAAATTTAAAATTTTTAATATTTTTGGGAATATAAATTTTTGAACATTTTGCCTCTTTCTGAATGGCTGAAGCAGAAAACTTTCTGATGCTGATTGGCAATGCCTCTAGCTTAATATAAGAGCCACGATAGCTTTTAACAAGCCAATATTATTATGTTTCCTAAGTCTTCCATACAAAATAAGCCAATAGTTTAAATTTCTGGTCAAATAAGACACGCCTAATAAAGATATGGGACTGGAATTAAGTAGAGCTTTCATACCTTAAAGGGGCTCTGGTTTTCAGGGACAGAAAACCTTAAAGCTGAGAGGTCCAAGGGATTTGATAATTATGCTCTCGGCTTGCGAATAGCTTTTGACTCTACACCGTGATCGAGAGGAGGATCAGAGGAGATATCAAAAAGTTCGAAAAAGTAATACGAAAAGGTGTTTAGAAAACTAAGCATACGAATATATAAGTATAAACTAACCTAACCTATCTAAGCTATGACATTCTTTAATTAATCGGGGTTTACAATTAACGCATTTTAAAAGCATTTAAGATAATTCTCTTAGGGATGAGTACCAAAATATAAATATTATACCTAAATAATACACCTTTAAAGTTGCATACGTCGGCTAAAGGTACAACTGTACCTAGCACTTTTTCAACCCTGGCACAAACAGATGTATACATATATAAATATATCCATACGTACATATTCAACTTAAATAGTTTGCTCAGTGCTTATCATCAATTACATTCATGATATTCGAAATTTGCGGTTCATCATTTTCTGAGACAGTGCAGACTTTGGTTTATACATACATATGTATGCGCAATCTGCAGTTGAGTCAGTCGGGTGCAACATGAAAGTCAAGCTGGTATTTTTATATGCACTTACCCACCAGGAATTTTTTTTGTTATCGGCGAGTCGACACGCATACACTGCCAATTTTTAAGTCCATTTAGCGGCTCTGCATACATTATTCACCGCTTGTGTTGGACTAGACACGGCTTGAACATCTGTGGGCATACCTATTGCGTGCCAGCTTGATTTGGGGACGAAATTGTACATTTGCACACAGTATACACGCCAGCGTCGCATGGTTGGGTATTTCGCAAATAATTTTGTCGTAGCCGGTTCGATGGAGGTATGAATCAGCGACTTTGTCTGGCAAAGCTAGAATCATTAACAATGAGTTTATGCATTTATATACATATATGTATATGCATTTGTATGTACATATGCATGTAAATACTAAACATGTAAACATTTATTTTTGTCTTTGGTTTGCATGTATTTGGTTTTATTTATTTAGATTATTTTGGGATTCCGCGAAATCGTACGAAAGCTTTTTCGCTGATAAGAATTCAAAATTAAGCTGGGTTTTTCAAAGCAACACTACAAAAGATTGGTATATATGAAATTAATTCTTGGCATTTGGTTTTTATTAAATTTTTGCTCTTGCTTAGCCTTCGACAGAAGAAATTTTATTTTTGTGTTTGCTTGGTTTTGATTTGGATAAGGAACTTTCACAGGAATTTTGTGGAATGACGAACACTTTTCAGCCCGAGATAAACTTTCCAAGGGTAATAGAATATTTTCATGTATAGATATGTATGTAGGAATATGTATGCACTTACTGCACTGTTGACAATCAAATTCCAAGAGCGGTCGAGCAAAAAACCGGGATTTAAAGATTACAAGCCTTTTGCGTGGTTTTGCGAAAGAAAAAAAAAGAAAAAATCTAAGTGAAAATAAAAACGGTGTGATTTACAATAATAAAGGGGAAAAACAGTAATGCTGTTTTCTAAAAAAATAACTTAATTTTAATTACGCCCTTACTTTGTAATCGCCTTAAATCGCTTTATTTTGATTTGAGTAGCTTTAGGCAAATAATCTAAAATCCCCTAAATTGATTATTTTTTAATTTAAGTCATTCGGTTTTATTGCATTTAGGTTAATGATTGAACTTTAAGTAGATATGGCATACAGTAGATAATTAAATGTTCATAAAATTGAAATTGTTGCGCAATGTTTAGAATCTACAAGATTTTTAGTTGTAGCTACGCATGAATTGTGTTAGTTCTTAAATTGATGTAGTAGATTTTCTTACCGGATGTAAGTGAAAAGGAATGTGTTTCTTTCTTTAATAGCCTTTTACAATGTTGTCCACCTATAGTATTTACAATACTACATATAATGCGTAGGCTACACTATACGTTTCCAAAATGTTCACAATAATAAGTTAGTTAGACTCATTAGCGCACACAAGGGGTGGGTTTTGGGATTCAAACCCCTCCCCCCGAAAGCTCATAACCTCAATTACCAATTGTATCTTGATGCTTAGAGTCCAGCTCTCAAGAAAAATCACAAGAAATATTTTTTATTATTTCTGTTGCTTGTTTTTGTTATTTTATGGCCTTATAACAATTATATTCAACAATTTTTATTGAGCTCGAGGCCGAAGAAGTCTGATGAGGAAATGTGGTGATTTCCGAAATAGCTATCACTTCTACAATTTTTTCAAATGACTGTTGCTTTTCCACAATAAGTTTTCATTAAAAATTCGTTTTCGTTGAAAATTCATGCGTGTATGGAAAAAGTGCAAAAAGCCGTCAGCAAAAAAAAATATATATTAAAAATCAACCCGATTTTGCAGCCGCTTAAAACTTAAATTTTTTTGTACTAAAATTTAATGGGCTACAAAACTAAAAAACATCAGATTGAAAAGCTCAAAATTTTTATTCTGTTAAATTTTTCTAAACTCTTTATAAAGTTTAATTTATATGGTTTTGGTTAAAGCATAAACCATAGGAAGGTATTTTTTTTTTTTTAATATTATCAAACAAATTTTACTTTAACTTTAAAAACCTTCCAAATATTTAACAAAAATCGCCATGTACTCATGCCTGGTCCCCACTATACCTATGCACATATTTATGTACATACATACATGTAAAAATTTTTATTGTTGGTTCAAATAATTAATGTTTAATTAAACAATATTTATCAACTACAAGGAATGATTGAATTCGATAACTCGGCAGTCAGTTCGAAAACGCCCTATCTCAGAAAACTTTTCAAGAACGCTCTTCTTCCGAATTTGATTGAAGAACGCCCTATTTCAACATTTAATTGAAAAACACCCTATCTCAGAATTTGGTTTAAGAACAACCTATCTCAAACGAAAATACATTGAAAATGTCGTCGAAAAAATCGTTTTTGAATCGGTAGCTAAGATAGGGTGCTATATAAAGTGTTAGACGAATGTTTGATTAATTTAAGATTTCAAAAGATACTATGTGTATTCAGAAGAAGACTTCATAGCGGCCGACAACTGATCGAAAAACACTCATTCGAATTCTTACTTCGGCGGCTATTTTACAACTTGACTATTTTGACTTTCGACCACTACGGCGACTTGACGACATCACCTTTTTGACTTTCGAAAACTTCGATAACTTGACTACTTTCTGAGAATGATTGAACCACATGCCGACTGTTTAACGATTGTAATGTTGCCACCATTTTACATACATACATACGTATGATCTACTTCAGATGCTCAGCCTCTTGTACTATTTTACCTAGTATTTTTTCTGCCACAAAATCAGGCTAGTAACAACTTAAATACTTACTTCAGGAAATAATCGGCGACTTCGCCTCTGTTATACAAAATAATAGTTTTAGTTCTTAATTCCAATTACATACACAGAGAAATTATGCGAATTTTTATGTAAGGTGGAGTGCGGCAACTCTTGTATGAGTAATCTCTCTTTAAATCAAACAAAATATACTGCAATTTAAGATAAGATAACGGCAACACGTGAGTCTTTTCGACTTATTGGGAACAGTTTTACATACAAGTGTTTGTATGTACATCCAGTTGTACGTAACATTGCAAGTCAAATCGAATCCAACCCAATTAAGGCAACTGAACACAACTTCAATTTCAACAGCATGGAATAAATTAGCGTCAGAAAGAAAACGGCATTCCCATCAAATGTAGGCAAAAATTGATGTGGAAAAGTAGACAACTCCACCTAAGTACCGCGAAAATTTCAAAAGAATGAATGTTTTTTTGTTTCAATTATAGAACTGTTTTATTAATAATATATGGTTGTTTGAGATAATTTTGCTATTCTTCATTTTGTAATATTGGTTTTATTTTTAAATCTTTTTCATTTTTAACTTATAACAAATGATGCTTTGGGTTTTTTTATAAATTTTTTTCTTAAATACATATTTCGTATATGCTCCCAAATGTGGTAATAGCATGCAACAAAAAGCTAACGTAACAAATAATTAATTATAATTAACAACAGTTTTTAATACATAACATTTGTTTTCAGTTGTACATATACATACATACATATTAAATAAAATTTTAAGTGCAACTGCTATTGAACAAATATTACAGGCAACTTATTTTTTATATTATATTTTTTAACTTTTTTGTTTATCTTTAACGCTTGAAATAATTTAAAACAATTTCTCAGTCTCAGCTTTTAAGTTAAGGTCAACATCTTTCATTTTATGAGACTTTTTCTCTCTTTTTTGTTTTGCTAAATTATGAGTTTGCATAAATTGATACGCTCATATTTTCTAGTGTTTAATTAATAACCTATAAAGCGTTATTATAGAGATTTTTTTTTCTAATCTTACAGAGGTATACAATATTTTTGCTAGACTATAAAGTAGAATTAACTGCGAAGCCGTTTTTCTTTTGCTGTTGTTGCTGTAGTTGATCTTAATCTTACTTCCTTGTCACACGCGTTGATCACGCACACGCACTGATTCAATATTGACTAAGCTGTGCGGTGCTGTTGCCGCTTGCTAGTTGCGGTTGGAAATCCGGCGTTTTTTCGTTGCATTATTGGCGGTGACAGCGGCTTCGGCGACAAGGTCATTGCGTCTTGCCTACGGTTGGGGGAGCTGACGCCGGCTTTATTGAGGTTAATTGAGGTTTTTGTTATTGCATCGGCTTTGCTGTTCGACTGTTGAGCAGCTCAGCTATTGATGGCTGGGGGCGTACAGTGTGTTTCGTTCATTGTTTGATGTGATTTCGAAATTAATTGACATTAATTTCTAATACTTTCATTAATATTCATTAAAATTTGGCTATAATGGCGCTGGCAGCGGCGTATGGCCTCGTATGCGTTGTTAGTATTGCTATTATACAAAATTGCATGCGACCCAGCCGTGCCGCACGTACCTATCTTTCATTATCTTCAGCTGAATTTATCTACATTTATACATCTTCATCTGCTTCATTTTTCATCTCGTGCTTCGCAACAATCCAGATTTAAAGTTGTCGGTTTTTCTTTTGTTTTTGGTTTTTTCCACTTCGAACGTACCAATGTCGGCGGCATTGTGTTCCAGACATCGTTCCCGCTCTTCGTCTAGGCCAAAAATATTTGATTTTTTCATAATTTCACCACAAGAGAAGTTACACCATAAAACGCTTTCATTGTTATGTACATATGTGCGTTGAATGTGCTTCCCGTTCAGAAATGTGTTCAGACACTGTACATTCATGCGTTCACACGACCGGCAACTCAACGATTGGGTGTTGTGGGGCATCCCAGAACGCCTCGCAGTAGTCGACCATCAGTGATTCTTGCTTATTCAGCTGCTCCTCGTCATCCTCGCCGGTCCAGGTCTTTTGCACCAGACAACACGATTCAACTACGGTTTTGCCCAGAATGCGGCTCAGCTTGGTGGGGCAATCGACTTTGATGACATAGATGTCGTTTTCATAGCAGAAGGCTTCCAGCAGCACTTCGTGCATGTGGGTGGCGGAGTCGCCATCTTGTGGCACGGCCATTAGGCAGAAGAGTGAGCCCTCCGGTGACTTGGAGAGCACTTGGATGGCGGCGCTGAGTCCCACAATGACACGCGACTCAGCTTGTGCCTTCAGTAGTGCTGATTTGACGGTGCGTCCAATCTTTGAGTAATCCATTTGTGTGGTGGTTGCCTTATCATTGATGGCTTCAAGGTGTTGCTCTAGGTTGATGTCGTTCATGGCGTTGCTGTTCTGGTAATGATGGATGCGTGCTTCGTCCACGACCATTTTGTATGTGCGTGTTGGGTAGATGGGTGCTTGCGCGTATGGCGGAATTTTCAAGCTTTGATTGACACTAACGGTTGAAGTTACGATTGCTGATTGTTTGCCGGCGCTTGGTGCTCCTTGTGATTTATACTCAAACGCGATTGCCTCTGACTTTGACAACGGTTTCACTTTTGGTGGCACTGGTTGATAGAGTTCTTTTTGTTGTTGTACAATAGTGTTCTTATGCACTTTGTTTACTTTTTGCTTTACTTTGAAAAATGTTCTTTTAACCCTCTTTTTGTGATTTTTGTAGGGTGTGTGTTTTCTTTGCTGCTTTTTTATGGCACTGTAATTTTTGTTCAAATGAAAATCTTATTTGTTTTTGCTTTTATCACAATTTGTTATGAAATTCTTCTTGCTATGCTTTCACTTGGCTAGTAGCTTAACGCGTATGCAATTTATTCCGTTCAAACGCTCTTTTGACTTGCTTCAATTTTGATTTTAATTTCACAATGAATGCTCCGAAACGGCTGTGCAGCGGTTTTTATACCAGTGCTCTCGCTGTGTTTTGCGTTTCTATTGAATTTCATCAGAAACCGAAAAAAAAGCTTTACATTGCGCTCGCCACCTAGCCAGCCAGAAGTAGGCTCTCTCGCCTTCGCCAAAGCAACTGATAAGCACCGTCTGGGAGCCACAATCGGCTCCAAGCGGTCGGTGCTTTTTCGCGCTCACACTCGCGCATACAGCGCATATCGGCTGCTCGTGGGGGTTTTACGTGTGCTCCCAATTTGCGTTTGCTTTGTTTTGTTATTGTTTCGTTTTTATTTGGTTTTTTCTTTGCTTCTTACGAACAAAATCATCAGAAATTTCCCAGAATTAGCAAAAAATTAAAACCGCGGCGCGCAAAGCTGTTAATGTGTTCAAAATTTTGGTGGTTACGCGTAAAAACCTGCTCTACTTCTTATCGCAGTTTTTGGCTTTTGATTTTCCAATGGTAATTACCCCCTTCGTAGCCGCTGCGCCGCGCCGTTCATCTCCGTTGCCTGTGAAACTCGCGTTAACTATCGCGTGATTTGACACTTACCGCTAAACGGTTTTCATCGATGGAGCAGATATGCTCACGCGCCTTTATTCATTCAGTGTTTCTGGGGTTTCCGTTTGTCTTTTGGTTGGACTTCACGTTGCAACTAAAAATCACCTTTACTTAACGAGTTGTTAATTAGGTTAACTGTCTCTTAAAAAGGCGGGAGGAGCTGCGCGCGCAGTTACCAAATTGATAAGGTTTTAACTCTTTTTTTCTGGCTTAAGCAATTAACTCTCTTCTTATGCTCTTTGGATATTGCGAAATAGTTAAATAATCTATGGGGGCTGAGCAATAGAAGAGGAAAGTAGAGTTGGATGTATAAAAGTTAACTTACTCGTATCTACAAGTAAAGAGAATTCACTACAAAACTGAATTCCCTTAAAGTTACATGGCGGGGAACCGATTTGTCAGTGACGTAGAGAAATAATTTCAAAGGGGTTTATCGAAAGTGTTTCAAAGAAATTAAGAAAAATCTCGTTAATAAAATCAATAGGTAGCCTTTTGTTTTTTTTATTACGTAACTTTATAAATGTTATACAAAAATTATGTTGTGTATTTAATGCAGGGAACCCTTGACCTACTTAATGCAAGCTCTTTCCATTCATTTGTTAGGGCCAGCCGGCGGTAATTATTCACAAACGCAGCGTTTTTCGTTGCGGTTCTGATTGATAACTGCTTGAATATGGCTGAGGTTTTTAATTCGTTTTTGAATTGGTTTCTTCTAAAATAAAGACGAACCCATTATAATCTATTACAGATACTGCAATCATAAGATCTTACAATTCACTATACATACCAAGGGATAACATTTAAAAATGAATGTGGTAACTGGTTGTGCGCTGGGTTTCGGACAAGCCATATAAAACCAACTTTAATGACAAATAAAATAAATCCTCAAATGAGAAGCCGTTCTTTCGAGGACAATCATTGCAAATGTTTAAGGGAAAAATTATTGTTAAATTTTTATTTTATCGGTTAAATTTGATCGTTATTTTCTGATATTTATTTTTTTCGAGAAAAAATCGTTATACATATTGGATTTTTATTTTTGAAGTACATATTCTCAATGGAGTTCGGAGATGTTTGCCTTTTAATATTTAACACCACGTCATCAGATCTGTATCTTTCGTTCGATTTTCAAATTGAGGTGTCAAATTAAAAGGTTTGCCCTGTAGATATGGGTTTAGTTTTTTGAAAAGGGGTGCCACATGTTAGATAATTAAATTTAAAAAGTAAAATGAATTCTTGCATATGTATATCAGAGAAAATCTCACGAGTTGTTATATTTTTCGACAAAAACGTGCTTTTAGTCGAAAATGGAGGCACACATCTTAGAAAACGCATTATCTTTGTATCATTTGTAAAAAGAACAAAATTCCAACGCGAAATTGTATATAAATGAAAATTAGAAAAAGATATCCATACATATGTACTGTTAAAAAAGTAAAAAAATAACTACTCGTGCTCATGCACCCGTAGTTGCGTATGTAACGTATACGCCCCGTAGCACCATACGATGTCATCTAACACGTTTACTCGCACGCCTTAGATTAAAAGTGATTAAATATTGGCGTTTAAGATTATTACACAGTATTCCTTATGCACATATATACTACTTTCTTCATTTATATACAAATTTTAGAATGAATTTCGATGGTGCCAATAAAAATTGTAAAAATGGAATTTTAGTTTCTCAAATCAATGTAATTTTTTCACTTGCCGAGACACTTCTATAAAACTAGATTCGTTCGTTCTGGCACGAAGAACATTTTCACCGTTTAATTTTAACATTCTGAATTATCTAAAATTATTAAAATTAAAAAATCGGAAAATTTCAAAAATTACAAAATAGCTGCGACAGATATTCTGCATGCTGCCTTTTTTTAATTTCGTGGTGCACTCTTGAAACTTCAGATTGTTGTATTTGATGATCTATTTGAAAACTATCCAAAGTTATTAAAAAAAAAACAATTATGACTTTTCTAGTGAAAATGAAATAAGTTCATAGAAAAAAAATATATTTGTAAAACAAGCTTTCTCTAAATATGAACCAAATCGGATTACAAATACGAGTTTTTCTAATATCTCGTCTCCTGCGCCACCTATCGGATTAATTTATCCTTCGTATTGCATTCTCGTCGGGCTCTGAGAGTTAAATAATTATAGTAAAACGGAATACTTTTTATTTGATTATCGTTTAAAAATGCTCTTATTTAAAAATTATATTTTCATACAAAAATTTAGCACGCAACTATTTGAATGTTCACATCTGAGCATGTACATCTAAGTGTACATAGGGACACGAATTTCGATACGATACGATATCATATCGATACTTTTGGCATTCGATACCGATATTTTTTACTCGATAGTTTTAAAACGATATTTTTTGGAATCGAGTACCAGAACCCTAGTATCGTATCGAATGTCATAAGCTTTCATTCCAACACTGAGGGAAAACAATTTTAGAATTAAAAAAAAAACGTGCTAAATTGAAAAAATACGCATATGAAAGAGCACCAACCCAACTCGTTTTAAATTTCAGTATATACGTTATAAAATATGTGGTTGTGAAGTGCACAAATGCTTTTTCGTAATTAAGAAGAAAAAAATTATAATTTTATGTTCCGTCTGATGGTAATTAAACCCGGACCCTCTTGGCCGCAACCAATTGTATAAAGCGTCTTTGCACACTCAGCTACAGCAATACATGTAAAGGTGTTTTGAAATGTTGAGTTTGAATCCACATCACAGCGCGCGATTAGTGCATTATGTCATACCATGTATGTATGTGTTGTCACCGCTGTGCATGCTTTGTATACATATACTTTCTTAATTACATATGAAAAAGCATCCGAGACGTGCAAAACGCCATCCGTGTAGTGAAAAATGCTTCATTTAAATACGGGCGTATTTGAATTGAATATTTCCATTATATATATGTATAATGGAAAAATCCATTTTGGTAAGACTTTTCACTTGATTTAAATACGAACGTTTTTAAACGGTAATCAAATAAAAAAAATTTATTCTTATAACGCGTTTTTTTCTCAGTGAAGGATAATGGTATTAACAGCTCAACCTAATATTACCGGCGAGAGTTTTTCTACGCACGCACGCCAGTTTTTTTCATTTGATATGTCCAAATTAATTTGCGTGCGTGATTTCTCAGAGTTGCATTTCTGTCAAATTTACAGAAGTTTGCCGAGAACAATTTGAACTCATAGTCGCGGCAAAATGCCAATTGAGCATAAACGTCAAATCGAAATGTCACGCAAGACAAATCTTGGAATTTGAGTAAGCTTTTTACGCACGCATATAAGGTTGACCTGTAACAATTCTTCCCGATATAAATTAGGCTTTAAAGTGCAAAAATTTGTACTATAGTTAGGATTGCATGTGGTGGGATTTGAACCCGCGGCCTCGGTGTTTAAGTCAACACCTCAATCTCTACGTGTTGTAATAATAATAAAGTCCGGCGCTTACACAATATGTTAGTGTTTGGCCGAACTTCTCCTCCGATTTGTCGCGTGGGCCTTAATGTTGTGGCACAAAGGAGGTGCCTACAGTTTTATGTCGACTCTGAACGGCGATTGTATTTTATGGGAAACATTTTTTTCATTTTCAAGGTTTGCGCACTTCTAACCACTACACCCCGGCGACCTATATGCGAGAACTATATTCAGATAAATTTTTTGGTTTTTGGTATCGATATTTGGAATATCAGGTCTTTTTATTCCGATATTAATGGGTACCCGATATTTTTAAAGCGATACTTTAAATGAGTACCATATCGATACTTTCGGTTCGATATCGTGTCCCTAAGTGTACATAACCTGCGGGAAATTAATCTAACTATAAGTTAACCAAAAGTCAATTAGGGATGAACTAAAGATCTCTATTATCTGTACATTTTCTTTGAGGAAAGCTAACTATATTTCTATGGCGATTTCCGCGAAATAGTCAAGGGTGGTAACTTCTGCATGAAGAACGGCGACATCACACACATACATACATAGTAATGTTTGTACGAACAAACCGCGTGCTGTGGTGTTGATGGAAATTCACCATTTGAAAGCACATTTATATGTATGTCTGGCTGTAGCTGAGTGCGCAAACACACAATTACCACAATTTTTTGATATCTAGAGACGAGTCAGGCTTCGAATCCCATTGCAGGCAACATGCAAATTGAGTATTTGCTTTTTAAGAATGAACGCTGTCATTTTAATATGCGCGTAATTGAATTAAATCAGGAACCATATCAGTTACGGTTTTACAATACAAATCATAAATTAATCGTTATTTTGTGATTTTTATTTTTCCGATCATTTTTTATCGTTATGTTATGATTTTTATTTTTTTGATCAAAAACAACAACTATTCATAGCTGTAAAATATCTTAGGTCTACGTTTGTTGCCTTAATTGTGAACACTACAAGTTTTTTTAGTTTTCTAGGATGGGACAAGACTATCCCTAAAAATCGAAAAAATGAAAATCAACTAATAACGAATAAAAATTATTGTAATTTTATAAATCAAAAAAATAACAATTGTATGATAACGATTATTTTCGGTCCTTGAATTGAATATTTACGACAATACGG